CTAAATGACCCTTTCGTTATTAGTAGTTTCTTTTTCCTCTACATGGGGGCATCCTGTAATGAGTACGGTCACTTTATAGGGGACTGAGAGCTATGCTCGAAGATTAAAGGCAGTTGCTTCAGATACGAAACAGACAGGGGTCACAGACTTTTGCTGGCTGGTAATATTTAGAAACGGAACAGGAGCGGGGAAAATGTTGACTAAAATTACCGCTTTATAACCACTGTCGAGGAGGGCATTCACTTGCACATTGACAGAACATCTAGATGTTTGCTGAACGAAGGCTATAGTGTTGGATTGAGTATCGAGCTGCTTTCGACACAAATCGTATTTGCCCACTCGTACGGTCTTGTATGGTCCCACGTACCAGTTGTTACTATCTCCAGTAACATTTATGTGTTCATCGTAGTATATCATAGCGGACGTTTTGTTTGCTACTTCCGAATATGGTTTAGAAGCATTCATGTTTAGGGTGCCTATCAAAAATGGTAATCCAAGTGAAATATAACACACACTCAATGGAGCCGAACAGATTAACAGGATGGCAAAAAACGTGCGAGTCAGAGATGAATGAGTAGGCTGACAAACAAGCACCCTTCAATTCCACCAATGCTGTTACTGTTGCTGTGGGTACTGTTGTTGTTATCGGGCTATGATGTCGCTGGAAACACCCAATGAGACGTTTATGAATAAGGAACACCTAGCGAGCCCAGTGTTCCTCCTTTCAGTGGCGCAGTCATTAGGGCATTTTAAATCAGGACACATCCATGGTACAAAATCTTTCTACAGGGAACGGGACCAACCTTGGAGGTCTACAAGAAGGTTTATTTATCAAAAGTGGCCTCGCGAGAGTCGATTCAACGTTTGCTGATCACTTGACAATTATAACTTCTTGATATGCTGCACTCGCTATCACAAAGCACTACATAACAGCTGGTTACGAGAATGTAATCATAAGTTCTACGCTTAACGTTCCTCCACGTATATATAATGATGAAAATTTAATGGAAAATTCTCTAGCTTTGTTCAGCACTATAACTGTAGCGATGGGTTTACAATAACGAAGATTATTCACAGAATAAGAACAGTGTAAAATCAGTCATAAAAATCTAAACGGACAGATTGATTGGATCTTAAATCGAAAGTTAAGTTAGTGAATTTCCATCGTGGAAGACGTTCAAGGGACACATAGCATATTGATATACCGCCAGCGACATATTACATAACAGGTGCGATTAAATAACATATATTAAAGCGACATGCAACGTTTTGTCGTTTTTGGTCACCACTGGGAAGACGGGAACTCCCGTCTGTGGTGCATATGGTAGCCAGATCGCAGATCCGGTCTTGTAACGTGGTATTGATGTGAGTCTGCGGCGTGCTATCTATGGCCAGAGAAATTCCCGTTGACTGTCATGGCTTCGATTCTATTTATTATTATTCAATTCGAATTCTAACCTGATGTGGATCCAGTCAATTGAAAGCCCGAGCCGGAAATGGGTATTAAAACATACTTGTATGGCATAGGTTGTTACATTATTAGTATATTGAATTAAATCCTGTGTGGAGACAGCGATACGAAGTTCGTATAGGCTTTAACTTTACGTACTATGACGGGATAAATTAGGGAGAAAAATGATGCTACTGCACCAAAATTGCGTTCACCTAACTGGTTCGACGAAATGATTTTAACACAGAGACACCATTCGCTTGTTTGACGATTTAAATTCGGACTTAACGGCTTAGAAACCCTTACCCAAGCATTTCTACTCATATTTTTATAGTGCCTCCATAATAACAGTAAGCAAGTTACGTTTTCTGCATATTGCACCTATCCATGTTTGAGATGCCATGAAAATGGGCTGCAAAACAAATCAGCCCTTGCTGTGTAGGAGATACGCTATTTTGCTAAAAGACGCCTACCATTCGACTTGTAGGCGTCTTTTTCCATCGGGGGAGTGGACGGAGAGGGGAAATTTGACTAGTGCTTGTTTCGCAGCCTACACGAGACATAAGTTCGCCCTGCCTACGCAATTCGACATTCGTTGGGAGCAAGAAAAAAAGGCAGACCGGCTCAAGAATGAGCATTTGCAAACACGCGCTCTGGGACGGACACATGGTCACTCAACTACCTACTTGCCCCTTTTCTACTACCACACGGTTAGAACAGTTTATTGTGTAAACGGCCGCTGATTATTCTTGTCGCATGTAAATTTCCCGCCATTGATGATGTAGTCGTCGTCGTCGCCGCCATTTTTCAATAGTAGTTTCCAACTTTTGCCGTTCATGATGTTAGCTAAACGCACCCACACAGTGACGCATGCAGTCACTCCGCGCGTTTTCTGTTACGATTTAGCCGCAAACTCTATTGCGCGCTGCTTAGTAAATCCAGGTTTCAGTAAAAGTACTAGTAACATTTTCGCAGAGTACCTACGCACCTCACATTTTTCGTCAGCCGCAATAGACAGTTAGTTACTGGTGCTTGGGGAATATTCACTAACTACTCGAATAGCTTTCCGTATTCACAACAATAATGACAAACCAAATCCAGTTTCGTTACCTAATGAAATTGGTCCTGCTACCACTCACTGATCGACTCCCTATTTCACTCGCCCACCCTCATATGCGGGAATTTCTATTCTCGCTATATCTGTTTATCCGCCTATGGCTCGTTGTTTTCGTTGATGACTACTCAGCGGTTCTACTGGCCGACGGATCCCGTTTGATCGCTCTAACCGCCTACTCCCGTTCCATTAACTAGGGCTCCCTGGATAGTATTACTGCTGTTGTTGTTATTGATGTCACGACGTAGCGAAACGCACGCCAGCGCACACCTCCATTCGACTGGCGTCATCATCATTGCTACTTATTATTATATCATACCGTCAAGTTGAACAGTTCAAGCTTATTCTGTTTCATTTCTCAGTTGATTTCTAGATTAATTACCTCAACCATTGGCTTTAGATAGTCTTTAGAACGACGAAGAGTATGACGGCTTCTGCATTCGACACAACGGTCATGAGCGCGGACGCTGGACTACAATTTGATGTAACTCGAAATTACAATTGCAAAATGTCCTGGATCGTGGGCAAGCTAGCGCCCGTTTCTACGACTGATTTTTTTATTCACAGCAACTATTTTGCGATCGCTTAGAAATCAAACGGTTTGTTAGTCCGTGCAAATGAGACCGATTAAGCATCTTGGTTTTACTGTCCTCGGATAGCTTCGATTTAACTTCGATGGCATACAATTGTACCCGAAGTCTTTGTGAGTAATTCAAGCTATCGTGTATGCTCTCACGTTCATTTAATCGCGTTCTCAAGGATAAAGCTTGTCAACAATAAACCTCTACGCCTGTCCAATTAGTTGCGGAGTCTCTACAGTGGGTCCTACGTCGTGTCGCTTACAAGATCCTACACATGTTACTTTAGCAGCCAAATGTTGCTCCGCTATGTGACATACCGTTTTCGTATAAGTCAGCTTCTTTACCTCTGTATATATGTGAATATGTATATATATATTCGTGTATATATACAGAGGTATCTGCTCCGTTCACCGTCGTCCTGTGTTACCCTTATTTTGTAAATCGTTAGTTGGGAACAGACGTTTTGTGAAACCTCACTATCTAATTTTCTATACCACGCAGTCGAAGTGGTAGGCCTAGGTGTATTCAACGTACAACGGTCAACGATTCATTAAAAATAGGAAACTTTGTTGCTAAATCGATCTGTTTATGTGATTTCAACGAAAGCGATGACATTATCAGCAAATCACCTGGCGTTTAAAGGATTATTGTCGATCCTGTCTACTCTATTTTTGCTAGCTCACCTGCGCCACGCTCGTTTTGCAAATATATATAACCGAATTGTAGCTACTGCTAATGCAAACGTTCTAAACTCTACATAGCTATATAAACAATACATTCTATCTATTACAAACATAAGCTTTGCTAGCGTGGAACACCGGTTAAGAAATGTTCATATGACAGGTTGAAACCGTTGTAATAGATGAACGTATGGCGTTGATTACAAGAATATCGACAGAGTGAAACAATATGAAAATGCTAAACGAATATGCTTAGATGACAATAGACCACAGCGTTTTCTTTGATAGGGCTTAAACGAATATTTACAGTGGCGAATAGGAGTAAGGAACTGTTACTGGAAGACGCGAAGTAATCAAGAACTTTTGCTCCATTAATTTGTCGTGTTTTATCGTACCCTTCCCTTACTATAGATTGGTGTATTGCCGCTTACGACAGAACTTTTCGCGAATAACTCTGTCATAAGCGACAGAAGATCAGAGAAAGATATCCATCAATCGGTGAACTGAATAGAGGTACCAAGCGATTCTGTTAAAGCCAAACGTTAGACTGATATTTCACGTATTCACCTTTTCATGTACTAGCATCCTTATTAAAGCTTGATTCGTTTCTTTAATTTGTTAATTCGTTACTATGGCCTGACCGAAGGGATCCTACAGTCCCTGATAGCGCGAACAAGCATTCCTTCTTTCGTTATAAAGAGACTACAACCTAGTCAAAATGATTCGGCAGAGTGCAAGTTACGATAATTCATGCGATAACGTGGGTCTGGAAAATGCTGCTAAAAATGTAGCCGGAAGGCACAGTGTAAATGCTGTTTCGTATTAGGAACCAGCTATCTAAACCAATGCGTAACGGCTTTAGTATCGGATGTAAAACACGTAAAAAGCAGATGATAAGTACTAGACAAAATCCCTTAACCAGTGAAAACAACAAGCACTCAGCCTTAGCTAGCTATTCCAATAAACTAGTTCATATACGATAATTGGTAGTTTTATCATGAATATTAAGCTCTTGTCTTTCCTGTATCTTGACCCCTAAGATGTGAATTGTGATCAGATTTTTTGCGAAAGCAGTCCCGCACAAAGGCACAACAAAACCGCATTCCCGTAACACGTGGAAACCACTACGTACGGGTCAGTATTATATTAATGGTGACGGCGTCGATGATCTCGTAAATATAATTTTTAAAAAAGTTTATTTCATACTGGAATAGATAATAGAAATCAAGTATAAATGGACCCTTAAGGTCCATAAATGTCCATAAGTGATGTAAGAGTCCATGAATATTTGAAGTCACCTGCCAACACCTATATAAGGTATAATAATCTTATATAGGTATTGGCAGGTCAGTGGTAAATTGCAATCAATCCAATAGCATTGCGTTCCATTAGAGCCGACAAGTTCGCCGTTCTCGAAATGAGTCGATGCCTTTAAACGAACGCATGTAATTTGGAATTCGGCTCAAGTTTTCTGCATTTTTAAAGCCTATAAGCTTTCCGAGAACGCACGGTGTTTTAGAACCGCAATTCTAGTACTCAAATACCGATGCACAACTCGTACTAGTAGTGTCTAAGTACTTGTAGCATGCTGTGAAAAATCTCTTACCACGAAGCTACTCAGGTAACAAAAGGACGAAGTTCTGCGAAGCTGATAAACAATAATACTACTAGAGGGTAATAAAAACGAGTTGTTTAGTTATCTGGTAACACCGATGATCCCTATTAGCCGTCAACTTTTCGAACTCACAATGAATTACCGAAACACTTCATTTTGCAGCTAAGTACAGTAACTCAAACACGTTGCCTCTTTCAGCACCTACGGTAAACACTCGATATACATGCTTTATTCACAAAACCCACGCATACAATGAATACCAATATATACGATAAAGGTCATAATGAAGTTGAATTGAACCCGTTTTCGTCTGTGTGTTGACTACAGCAACTTGCCTAATCAAATGTTCTTTTTCAAGTGGCACATCCAGTAGCGTATACGACGACATAAAACTCAGACAGATACGCATCAAAATTAAAAGCTGTATTTTCGGATATGAAGCAAACCGGCACTTGATTTCGGGGCAGTTGGCTGGTTTCCAATTGAGGAAGAGGAGCGGGAAAATAATTCACAAAAATAAGTAATCCAAAGCCACTATTAACGAGAGCCCTTATCTGCTCCTCCATAGAACATCTTGATGTTTGTTCAAGGAAAGCCGCCTTTCGGTTGCCCAAATTTGGTTGCTTCCGACATATATCATATTTGCCTACGCGGTTGAGTATTAACGGCCCTACCTGCCAGTCGTCAGTGTTTATATACGGGTTAAGGAATCTTCGGGAGTAGACCATACCGAACCTTTTTGTTACGTTCATCTCTGATCCTCTGGCAAGCATTTGTATGAAGCCTTGCGTATACGACACAGTTGACGTAACTAAATACATCAGCACGACCAAGAAAATCATGTGAGTTTGCCGCTGACGAATAGATTGAGAACAGAACATCGTTGTTATTAACGTTATTATTACGTAAGTGTGTCACGGACAACATTAACGAAACACCCAGGTATCAAATACACTTAGCGGGTACAACGTTCCGTAGATAGTACTACACTATGTACTGCAATTGTACCGCAGAACATATTACCAGTGCAAAGTGACTACGACTGCGTATGACTAGTTTAGGAAAATGGTGACAAATTTTGTATTTGACAAGGCCAAAAATGATACGTGACGATCTGCGCTTGAATGAGATTTATTATCCCACTGTAGTCACTCGTAATTTCTGGATACTGAAAAGCTGGTTAAAGCAAGTATTGTAATGAATTATACACCTGAACAATGTGTGTAACCGCAAAAAATTCATTTGAGAATAAAAAATCTCTTAAGTTCTAGACTTTTTTTTTTAACAAATATCATATTATAGCGATCTCATACGTTTTTCGGTAGCGAGGACAGCAAAAAATTAGAACCGCAGGACGTGGGATATAAAAACGCAAGGGATTACATAGAAGAAGCGATTTGTTTTCAAATCAACATCTATTACCTGTGTCACAGAATTTAAGGTTTTACAAATACATGTATATTATTCCATTTCTGGCCCGCAATAACGAAGATCAATGGAAAACCGGAAGTTGTACGCTTCTTACCATCGGATTGTTTGGCGTGATTTTAATGGATCCTATTGGCTTGGATTGTTAGAAAAACTGGCAGAAAAACCTCGCTTGTTCTTGATGACGTCTAAATCTTCTTTTCTAATTAGCACTAACATTCGTCAGATGCATGAATTCGCTATTTTAAGACAAAACTTCAGGTGATATAGTTCGTGATTTTAAGTACGTGCATTAATTTTAGTACTTTAGGAAAGATAGTTTCTATTTAACTAATGAGTACGAGATTGTACCGATTTAGTTTCATATGTATAGCAGTTTACCAGACCTTCATCTACCCTCAATGTATCGCAATTGAATTCGAATTTGGGACTTTAACGTTCGAAAGAGACGACAAATGTACATCAAAAGCATGGACTATCACATACAATTTACAGCCCGGTACAGGATTTACAGCCCTTGATCGTGTTGAAGCGTAATTAGCTGTCTTCCCACAAGCAGTACTTGGCACTGAGATAAGATTCAACTTGAATTTTAGAAAAACTTGACGCTCATTTTCCTAGAAAGATCTATTTAACTACAAGTTTATTACTCTGGTGATCCCTGGTCCGGAAAATGTTGTGCTTGTTTACGTACGAGACAAGAAATGACAGTGAAATAATGATACACCGTTTTATTGAGACCTATTCATATATGCGTACACGCCCATCTACGATGACACTCGTTTATTGACATTCGATTTCATCGCCCCGATTGTACAGTGCACGTATAAGGAACAATGTCTGGTTCATTTAAAGGTTTCAGTTTTCACCGCCAGCGTGGTACAAATCGCTATTACCTTACTATAAGTGTAGTACTGCATTTTTAGGCGAATTAAAAAGAGAAACGAAGTGAAGATGTGAGACGAAGTACGTTGATTTTTAATTTTAACCTTACATATATCCAGAATAACGACAATATGAAGAGTTCAATGGAACTGTTAACGCTCTAATGTTTCATTAAAAGGAATAAGCTCAACCATTAGACTCTAGTTTCTAACGCATTTTCGGCAAGCTTGTCTCATTCGAAGTAAAATCACCATCAATGACATTATCGGGAGATAATGTTGCGTTTGCTGCATCTTTTGCAAGCTCCTTAAGGGAGATGTCCACCAGGCTACGAAACGTTCGCGGTTCTGTCCACGCAATGTCGGCCAGTACCTATACCGACAAATATGATTAAAAGAAAAAATATGTGTATAGTATACGAAGCTGATTAAAAGAAAATGATACATTTTAGTATGAAAATTCATATCGATAATGAAGCAACAAATCATTTGCCCACCTGACGCAAAATATGCTGTAAGTGGTTGAAATAGTCTTATTATTCGACAGTCCAAAAAAATAATTGAGCAACACCGGTAAGATCCTTGAGGTCCCCTAGATGGGCGGCTTCTGAGTTCACTAGCCCTCACTTTCTAACTTCTCTTCCCTGAGCCGCTTGTAACTCACAAATTCTGACATCTACATTGGCGTCGAAAGGTTTACAAAGTACAGTTTTACGACTGATTCTATAGAATACTGTAGGAAACTCCAGTCAAATTCAGTGTTCCATCACATCTTGTATGAGTACCTTGTACCTTGTACCTAATAATCGAATGGTAGAGTGTTGTGAATCTTCCAAAAAATATTTAATTTTTCAAACGGAAACTCATTAAGTCAACAACGGAACTGCATGCCTGGGCCATGGAACTCATCGTGTGTACACATAATATAGTGGACATCGTGCATACCGCAAAAGCTTAGGGAGGTCTCTTATTAATACTGCTAACGAGAATTGGCTCAAATTATCTGTTCAACGATACTCAAAAAAAAGCTTTCAAAGAAGTTTGCAAAAACCTCTCATAATCTAGCACTTTTTTTTCTGTAAAGCCGTGCCGCTCTTATAGCGTTATATCTGTGAAAGGCATCAACATGCTATGTATTCCACCTGAAGGAAACCTGCATATTGTTTTTTTAGCAATATTTCCACAGGCTAATAGTAGCTGCGGGTCACTTTTTTCTTCGGAATCACCTTCGCGATGCATTGACGCCAGCTGTGTGGAATATGGCATTCTTCAACACTAAGAGTGTTACCAAAAGGAAATCAGACGTCAGAATGCTTGGTTTCCTTATTTAGGACATGGATTAGTATTAATAAATGTTTCCACATTATTTGTATATTATTCTAAATGTCTGTCTAGGTACGCGCCGCTTAGACACGAAAACCTTTATTATTTTTCCGTCAATTAGCATACATTAATCAGTGTTAGTTAGGCTGCTGCCTGTGTGCCAATATATAAAGGATGATCCCTTAGAAATTTTTTGCTATTGCAAAAAGTCACTGTGTTTAATCAATGGAGGGCAGATTCAAGTTAAGTAAAATTGTCAATGGGCATGGCATATCACATACAAATCAAATATAAGTTTGTAACTTACACGCTAATCTGTCTTTGCTGCTACTTATATAAATGAAGTCACTAAAAAGCAATAATTTGTGTGGCGCATGACGTAGAAACATCTACAACAATCACTTCAGCATCAAAATCAAAGTTGAAGATTTTAATTTGTTTTTCACCAAAATGCATGCTGCGCTTGCTTTAAAATCGCGAATACCACAAAAGATATTGCCCTATTCCTGATACCAAAAACTTGTTCTTTCTAGAACAAAACAACAAAATCGTCATGACTAATAACGGTGCATCGTTTTCGGTATTTGAACGACGATTAGCCATTATCCATTCTTTTCACGCTAAGCAAAGCGTCAACAAGATTAATAACCTCTTTTTTTGCCTGAGATTGATGGTTTAGATTATTGCCAGTCTTTGTGGTGCTCCTAAAAAATCCAACAAAAACCTCCATACGGAAACCGGAAAATCCTCAATAGGGTTTCCATTTCGGAATTCAAAAATTTTTAATACACCTCTTTCTAACAGAAGTTGCCGGCCTTATTCGACAGGAGAGCCTTAATCATCAATTAGATTATCTAAATAAACTTCAGCGGTTAGTATTTTTACGACTTTCTTAAACTTCTTGGTAGCTCTAACTTCTATACATTGTGTATGTTTTAATAAATTTGAAATTCTTCTATAATTTTTTTTTGTATTTAATATAGAAAAGTAGCACACCACTAAGCGCGTTCATACCTGTACTGCGACTATAAAAGTTGAAATATTTAGCAGATTCAAGAACAAATATTTCGAGAATTACTAGTGAGCTGTTTAAGTCCCAAATTAAAGCTGTAATTGCGGTCAGTGGTTGTTACATTGATCCTGACCGTCAACAATCGATATTTCACATGTAAAAAATTTCTTTGAAATGTTTGTTGTTGTTTAGGTACCAGGTATCTGCTATTACGCAAAAAATAAAACAATAAACGAACGCTATCACAAATTTCTTAAGAGACTCGCGGACCACTAGCACAGCAATCTAGAGCACGCAGTTTAATTGTTTGATGACAACGCCAGACCCCATCGCCTTGCCTCAGTTATTTCCTGGATTGACCAAAGGAATACCAAACGTTTGCATCGACCCGCTTGTTCACCCGATCTAAGCCTAAGTCATTACGGAGCTTTCCATGCCTTAAAAAAGTAACTGGTAAAAAAACAAGCTTATATTGCCGTCAATTTACTTCGAGAAGCCATAGATGAAAAAATTACATATGGAAACGTGAATGGTAGGTATATTGCTATCAAAACGCTGAGACAAATGTGTGCGACAAATGAAGAAGAGTACGTTTAACACGTATTTAAAAATTATAATTTCAACCCAACTAAATCAAAAGCTATTCAGTTTCAAAGATCGCCGGATTCGTTTGTAACAGCCTGATATATCAACAAATGTATGCACCCAGCTTATTTGCTTATAGCGTAATGTTAATGCGCATAGTACACATATTCACCTCTGCGAACCATCCCGTTGCTATGAAACGTTGTTTTTATGATTCTGTGCAAAAAATAATTTAACGACAACACCTGAAACTACATATAGCTAGGTTTGATAGGCAACTGGCTTCAAGTACCTAATGAACATTTTTTTGAGGGCATTGCCATCATACCCATGAACAGAACCGCGACCAGAATTAATTTTATATTTTAGCGTTGGAGAATGGTTATTATACAATATGGTTACTATATCGTTTCATGTATCTGTTGAAAAAAACCCAGATAAATCCAGCAATAGCCACCCCCGGCTACATTCCTAGTGGTAAATTTTCTAATGCTATACCACAGAGGTGATCTCAAAGATTTTCCCACAGTAAGGATAGCTGAAGACGTTAAAAAATTGCTTACTTGAACGTGTATTACAATATAAAGAAATATACGAATTTTAGGTGCCAAACGAAAAAAAAAAAAGTTTGCTGAATATCTTTCGCGTGTCTCATAGTTAATTCGGCTTATGTACTCACTTTTCTATCAAGCGCAATGCTAGCTCTTGCCAAACCATGAACAAATGGAAAATATCCTCCCCGAACACCAAGCTCCTCGGCTGCAGCGCCAATCCTAGAGCTCCATAAAGTGCCTACATTGCGTCTGTGTGATACTCGGCCGCTTTGTGCATGCTCCCAAGCTTTCCACAGTGACCTAAATCGATAGCGTTAGTACATACACAATTATAAGTCTTAAGGATAAAAATTAACTAATCGATATTTAGGAAAGTAAAATAAAACCATGATTATCCCTATTTTTAATACAATATCAAGACTGTACCTACCGACTCATAATATAGGTATTCCAGGGGTAAAACTAAAGTCAAATGAGCCGGAGTCCAAACTGACTGTTTGACAAACTTTGAATAATAGCATCTGCAAAATCTCGCTGTTAACCTAAAACACCTTATGAGTTCCGACGCCATAAATGATATTTCGATAAAAAAAAATCTGAGAAATGAAAAGCGAAAACAAATAGTTCTGCTGAAGGTAAGCCGTAAGTTGGCGCTGCGCGTGTAACATTCTTTACAAACTTTTCAGCTCCCAAGAGCCCTGTTCAGTCCTCAAGCGCGACTCAATTCCTACCGTTAAGTTGTGTAATCCAGAACGAGGCTGACGAAACGTATTTACCACAGAGTGAGTTATTCATGGTATTGCAAGTGATATGGATTTGTGATAGGATGGGCTTGAGAAATAATTACTGTAAACAATAAAAGAACAGCTTACGGCAATGATATATTAATCACGCCACCTAATGGATCAATGACTTTTTGGGATACGTTAATTACTTCGTCATCAAATAGATAAATACCTAAAAAAGTTAATACTACCGTTGAAAGATTGTGAAGAGATTAACGGAACGCCTCAACAAAGATAGACTCGAACCTTCTTTCGAATAAATCTATAAGAAGTTGACACTAACCTGATGGCGACGCTATAGACGTTCCTGCGGCGCCCGTAGAAGTGCCCGCAATATTGAAAAACTCTGTTCCGTTTCCAGTATTTGTTGGCCGGATGTTTAACCAACCGAAATAGTGTTGCCGTAAGATTGACCACTGCAAGAAAAGATAACAGCGATGCTATATGTGATTGTTACGTAGTTCATAATTACTAGTAAACGTTGAGGGAAAATGATAAAACTCACGCGTTTTAAGCATTTCCTATTTCGCATTTTTGTATGATGATTCTGAACTTTTGCTCTCTGTATACTGAATCACTCTAGATATAAATTGTTTGGTATTACTGTGAAGATCATGCAGTAAAAGGCTCACAATATATTCTGATTTTTCGGTCTCTTTTTACCAATTATTAGCTTGCTGAAGGTAAACAGATTTTTTTTCAACCGACTTATGAAACGGTACGGTAACAAAATTCCGTAGTAATCCTTTTGACGCTGATATTTGAACCAGCGATGGTTGCATACTCATTGTCATTATGGTGACGTAAGTTGTGGATTAGCTGCCCAGACCAGGTCGCCCAATCGAGTGCTTTCTGTGCAAGCACAACTTAGATAACTTTACCACTTAATACAACGTTTTTGCTGGATTTTCTACTGCAAGTAGCAACACATTTTGAACTGGTTAACCTAACTAACCCAACTACAGATTTCAGGTGTTTATTTCTTCATATATATATATATATTATCAGAATATCTCAGACAATATTTCCTCTGATCAAGAGAGTGGGATTAATCGTTGATTAGTCATCAGACATCTGAAGGTCCAAATGAATGTTTGTTTCAATAACTTTTCTGGAGTAGGGATAATTTATCAGCAAATGATTAAGCGTCTTTCCTGTTTTTTATCATCGCTTGATCCTTGTATCGCTGGTTACTAGATATAAGTGCAATAAAATAGACAAACTCTTACTTTTGTTGGTTCCTCCGAAGCGCGTTCGCGCACTTCACTCCCGCACATCGGCACTCAACAAACTCAGCTCGTAAATAAAATAAAGGGACTAACGTAATGGATACCCGAGCTTCGAAAAAAAAATAATATCTAGAAACTTACGTTTTAATTTATTTAGCTTTTATATTTCTCCTAATCTCTTTTCAGACCCGAAGAATGAATAGTTAGCACTGGACAAGTAGATTGATGAAAAACATGTTCATTAATTTTAATGCCCTGTTTCAAAAAAGCGCGCGATAAAGATTTGCTCACTGTCTGCTTCGTTGTTTTAGTCAGCAAACCATTCGTGGGACATTGCATTAGCGCAAGAGAGGGTCTTTTGTTTAGAACGAAATGTTTATGCTTGGTTTGGAACGTCGGCAATTGTGTCTGTGGGCTCCGGTGAAGCCATACGTTACCTGATTCGGTTCTGTACCCTGTGATTAATTCTGTGGCGTGTCGAGCGATTTCCATTCTATGTATGAAATGTAAATTGAAAACAAACTGTGCACTATTGGATGTTGTTAGAATTAGGACGCGTTTGAGTGAGTTTGACTCCTTGTAATTTCAGCACATAGCAAGTACGTATTATAACGTACGCCCATATAAGCCCCAGATTTCAACTGATTTGAAATCTTGAAATGCTTTTGCGATTCGATGTTGTTATGTATTAGGCTATGAAGTAATGCGAGGCCACAAACTTTTTTGAATACAATTTTCAGAGACGCTTCCAATTGATTTCAAGTGCATCATTGCTATGTTATAGTCATTAGTTTCTTTTTATCTAAATGTGCGCTCAACTTTTTTCATCGTTTCTTATTGGGTATTTAGTGTCTCAAACCTCCACATGCCAATCATTCAAACACAAGTGCTAATTGGTTTTCATCCTGTTCTCTCCAGGGAATACCTCCGCGATGTACAGTTTTAGGCGGGACGCCTAAGCAATTCCTGGTATTTCCTGGGTAGCGTCAAACTAGAGATAAACACATGACAGTTGTCTTTTACTTTTTTAGTGATACATTCATACCATTCACATTAGTCGGTTCCGTATAGATTACATATTGGCTTAGTAACCCCCACAAAAGCACATTAGGCGGGTGTTTTTTTAATGTCAATCAACTAATTATAAACAACTAGTGCATAACGCGCTGGAAATCGATTCTGATGGTTCCAACGGATGTTGGCGGTACTAGATGCTTGTATTATCGGTTTTGAAAGGTTCTTTATTCTTAATTTATTGTTTTCAAAAAGTGTACTATTTCAAAAAAAATCCCTATTGCGGTGAACAATAACGTTTGTGTAAGATCTTTTATTCAGTAAAATAGTTCTGTTTTCTGACCACCCAAATTGAGATAACAATCTATATATAATTTGCGGTTGCTTAACAAAAGCCACTCACTTTAATGTGACGGCTTGGGTTGGCACAAAGCACTAAACAAAGAAACAAGTATTTGTTTATTTGTAATAGTTTGATTTTACAAAAGTACTTTTTGAGATGCTTCTGATTACAAATTCGTTAAAAATAAAATGGAAGAAGCGTATCTGAAAACGCATTTCTGTTTGTGAGGTTAAGAACGTTAATAGCTTGACATCGATACTATCTTTTTCTGTTTATTTACGTTTATGTTCTAGAGGTATTGACCTGAATATATTTAATTTGTAATTCTTAATACTAACTTAGTTTAATTATGGGCTTAGATTATAGGTTGACTATGTTAATGCGTTTCTTATAGTCAAAGTAACTAAGCTAATTCGCTAATTTGTTAATTAAATTTGGGTGGATTATAAACATCTAAAAACGGGTCTTTAATTGTTTTTGTGTTACGTCTGGTTCCAGTCTCTATTCGCTATCTGGCTATGGCTTTTCCAGGTCCACGTGGAACGCCTATAGGGGGTTTGCCCCTTCTGAGCGCGCCAGGATTCATGCCGCGGCCTGTTCTAGGTCTTCAAGTTATGCCACCAGGGGTAATTTGAATCTTAGCGTTGGTCATTACATAACTGTATTTTTACCTATCGCATAGGTATGATTCTTGTCCAAAACCTCGTGGATGTATATTTATGTGGAAGAATTATGACGACGAAAAATCTGTCTAAGTTTGCTAAGGCTAGAAGTGCGCCTTGAGTTTAGGGTAGTGGTTACTAAAAATTTTTGAAACTTCTATTTCTGGTAACAGTGAATTACTTAAGGGTCCCAAACGTTAGTAATATCGGTGTGATGTTCTTTCCTCGGTTTTATGCGTACGGTTAGGTGGTTCCTGTAGTTGGAGTCCCCAATCCTATGGGTATGCCACCGATGCCTCCTCACCCTCCAGAACGAAGACCTCCTCGACCTCAATTCCCTAAAAACTCATCAAAGGTGAAATTTAATTCTAACGCATATCTTTTATATTTATATTTCATATCAATCGCTTTGCAATTTTTAAGAGGAATTCTACATGTTGGTAGGAAATTAGTTAATGATGTGGCTTTCATCGTAAGTGAACACAGAGGAAGTCTAGCCTTGTCATGGATATGTACCCAACCTAACCAATCATCGTTAGCATCTCTTTAATACAATCAATGTTAACACAGTGTTAAGTTTTCTTCTAAAATAGACCTATTCTATATTCACTTCGAATCATTCAATTATTTTGTAACGAAATATTTTCGTGGTCGGTTATCTTTATTACGCGCTGTGCCTTGTGACACGTAAATGTACCACTTATAGCGTATCATTTACTATTACAAATCCTACATATAACCGTTGCATAGTTATTGTTAAGAATTGTGCACAGTTTTCAATGGCGAATTTGTGTTGGCTCGAATAATGACCCGACACTAATGAGAGCATACTTTTAAATATTACAGTCATCGTCCGGGCAACAGCCAGCCGATGATAAAAACCAAACGATCACCGTTTTTGTAGGCAATATAACGGAACGTGCAACTGACGGGCTAGTTCGCGCCGTTTTGGCCAAGTGCGGGTAAGTAAATGGGCCAATTTTTAATAATCTCAAGAAAATTTTAGCGAAGCGGTTTCACTATATAGTATGCCGTCTATATACACTATGGAAGACAATAGTATCTATCGGCACACCAAGCATCTAGATGTTTTTAATCAGTTGGACTTTATAATTATGCGTACAAGAAACACTATTTATTTTCTAACCTGGGATTTTAATATTCTTATGGTTCTCCGTCATATCGTCTTCAGGTTCATCGCCAATTGGAAACGCGCACATGGAGCAAATAACATTCTTCAAGCTTTTGGATTTTGTGATTACGCGGAACCTGACGCTGCTATTCGAGCAATCAGGTTAGGGTTCTTAGGAGGGCAAATGTGTTTGATGTACCAAAAAAATACAATGATTACGCTGCTCTACAAAAGCAGCCATAATGTATTTAATGTGAATTGAAAGAGCAATACTTGGACAAACAGATCTCTTTTTCTATCTAAACTCCTATTTTTTTTTTTCAGTAATTTCACCTCTCTAACCGATACCTAGTGATATTGTTAATAGTCAAAAAGAAAATTTACACACTAAGTTGAACCTAGTTTGTTAACTGGTTATTTTTGTTCTTGTAATACATGCACTTACATCTGTGTGATGTGTCGGCTGTCAATGAGTTGCAGGTTGCTGAATGGCTTAGAGATCGGTGATAAGCAGCTACTGGTCAAAGCTGAAACGAAAACGAAGGACATGCTGGCAAAGCATGAGGCCGAACAGCGCGAGCAACGGCAAGATTATGACGACTTTTGCAAACAGGTTAAAAACGCAAATTTGCTATAAGGGCTTTTAAAGCTAGATTTACAGCTTCCTCTTCCGCAGTTTTTTTTTTCTCTAAATGACGCTAAGTGTTAACATTTTTATAACATTTCAATTCTAAGAATGTAAAACTAATTATACATGATTTCGTTACTCTAACATGTCGTGTATCTGGTGTGTAAAGAGTTCGTACCAGCGAGTACTGTTGAGCATTCAGCTCCTCTATGTCAGCTATCTGTTCTAGGTATGAAGCAACATACATAAAGGCATTTGTTAACATGACAAGTTGTACGAACGTGCTGTAAAAATGCAGACTGATCGGGAAGTTATGGAGCAAATTCAGCAGCTGATGCGGGTGCACGCCTCGGAACTAAAGAGCACACGTGACAAGGAGTCGAAGGAGAGCGAAGCTAGCAAGGAACGTCGGAAGGCTCATGAAAAGGTACCAATTTACACTGCAAACTGTTGCACTGGCCATAACAATATAACGCGGTTTGAGACTCATCTAATGTTTTTTAAAAACGTATTTTGAGGTTGCTTTAGTATGTGCTAATTTTCTTTTTACTTATACAAAATATTTGGAAAAAGAGATTAGGAACTCTGTTTTAATTTTCACACTCCATCTTCTGCGGTATAATAATTGCGGTATAATAACCTCAAAAAGACAAACCGGATCATAGAAATATGAAAAAGCAATATGAACCACACAAATGATGCGAATATTCTTAAATGCTGGTCATTATATTCGCTACATTCCTTGTAATGTACTTGAGGCTTTCAATTCTTAAAATAATTTTTCACGTAAAATAGTCTTTTTACGCCTTACATAGTGCAGCATGCAGTACCGATAATTTTCCTTCTTTCTCTATTCCTCAGGTATTATTGGATGCAATGGAGCACATGAAAAAGTTGGATGAGGATAAAAAGAGTCTCATCACTCGTGAAATCGACAAATTCCGCGATACTCACATGGTAAGTAGATAATGATTAGAAAGTTAGACCAAGTGCACACTTTGGCATTTCGTTTTTGCTCATAAGTAAATATGATAAATAAATAAATGCAATGTATAATCGAATATATACCGCGCTATTGTGCACCATTGTGTTTATATGCAAAGTCCACAATGCCCTAAGAATGTACGCATCATCATAAATAATACTAATTTGCAAGCAATAAGTTGATCTAAGCATTTGACCTGTGATACAATTGTACTGGTAGACTGTAAATTTTTGTGTTCATTATACTAATACAACACCGTGCTACACAATTCTGCGTGGTATAGAGAGATTTGTGAATCTGTTTTTACACGATTTGCGTGAATTTCTTCAATTTGGAAAACCACAACAGTATACTTTCATGCTAAGCGGCTTCATTAATATTGTCGCCGAATGACGATTGTCAATTTCCGTTTTGTCATTATTATCTTTGTCTCTCGCGATGTTGTTTTGATTATTGTTCACCGCGAATAGCCGATTAGTCCTGATGTTGACCTGCCGATATGTTCATGGGGTGAGTAGATGATGTGCTTATGGGAATGGATATGAATGAATACAGCAAGGAAGAGGGTTTGATCAACGGCGTGTGTTTTGTGTGTAATCAAGGACGACTTGTACTGAGGCACGGCTTATATCTATTCGCTAACTTCTGTTTATTTCCTTCTCGCTCTTTCGCTTGCGTCCCTTCTCTATAGACGCTACAAATGGCCTAAAATGTAATTTAGTTTATAATAGCCATTATTTATCCGCCGTTGTCTACCTATTACAGCTGCTCTATCTATTTAGTTAGGTTTCTTGTATTTATATGCTTTTTACCTGGAGAAATGCATTTGATGACTTATTTATTATGCTTAGGCCCAGTGATTTATTCTTCGTAAAAATTCATATGCTCTTGCATATAACTTCTTGTACTAATGGACGTGACCCACAAAAGTTAGACCTTCAGTGTGTTATAATTTGCATAAAGCCCATTACAATGATTAGTTTAGTATATTAGATTATTAGCAGATCAGTATATTAGGCTTTTCATTTTACTAATGTGAAATTAAAAAAGAAGAACAAAAAATGTAGTGTTTAAGAGACTGAAACAAAACCATGCTTATTTATGGAACAAACATTTCCTTCGCAACTTGCAGTGAAGTCACTTGTTGTGGCGGAGTAATTTTAATTGATAATTTTGTTGAAGACATTTCATATATCATGTCACAAAACTTCATCAACAGGTCTGTTACAGCAATATGAAGTAGTTACGTCGACGGTTATCTCTAATGGGTACATATAAGTATTTGGTCTAAAACACATGAGCACAATATGATGATACAACCATTTGGGTATTAGAATCATTTGCCCAACGTGTGCGCCGCCGGGTTGCCCGTACTAGCGGAACCGTACCACCTGCGAGCATCTCGATCCAATCTATTGGCCTTTTTCGTGATCGAATTGCATTTCCCGTTATCGCTGAACTTCGTGGTCTACCGGAGCTTTCACCTGAACCTGCACCTGGATCCTCGAACATTATGAGGCAACAACTATACCAACCACATCCGAAAAGCAAGCGTGAGTCAGTATTAGCATCCCGGTCAGAAACGAAATCTAAGATGGAAATCTTGCTCGAAAAACCGTCGATGCTCAGCGAACCGATGTCAAGTAATCTGGAAAAGCATCTGCAGGTTCGAAGTTGTGGGGTTTGTGTGCTGATGGTGCTGGTAGTGTGTTCAAATGTGGCGAAACGGGAACCAGAGGCGGATTCGGCGGCGGCGATCTAAATTCGCCCCCCATCTTTGTTTAGCTTTCGGCATATACTCTCCGTAACGGTGGTGGTGGTGATAGCGGCGGCGGTGAAAACCATCAACAAGTTTTACAGAAATGTGTTTGATCTCCTTGATTGTGTTCTAAACCATCTCCCCACATTCCTATTGCATGTTTTTTTTGGTAGGAGTGTTTTTTGCATAGCAGTATCAAATTTCTCGCAAGACGTTGAGTAGTGTATGCTTATTTCTCATCACCCCGTATTTTTAATAGTTGCACATGAGGTATGACTTCGCATGTCTGACAGTGTACTTGATTTAGTATATATTTGGAATGCTTTTCTGCTTGAATTCTAACTTCCCGCTGTCGGCTTTGTTTATATTCGAAATCATTTTGCAGCTTCTGCGGGAAATAATGAAAAATCTCATTATTGATATTAATATTTGTTAAATGTTATGACATATCGGTCGGTCAGTCAGATTGATTGTTTCGTAGGATATCATTGCTTTTTGCTGTTATAGGAGACTTATGCTAAGTATCTGTTAGCGATAGTGTATATTGAATTACCAGCGAACTTTGTGAGGTTTCGCTTACGAGCTTTATCCAAGTTCTATTTTTTGACCAAGCTGGTCGTTTTAACGCATATCACAGAAAAAAAAAATTGAAATTATAGCACGCATTGGCGCAGCGGTCACAAAAATCTGATGCTCTGTTTATTGGCCACATGAGGTTTCCCCCATAGTCTCGACGTAATTAGCTAATCAGATTGGGTTACGACAGTTCTGTTGTGATATAATATACTGCGTTCAGATTAATAACGCAGTTATCAATAACATTTCAGAACAAGGAAGAGCCAGCACCGAATAGCACACGTCGAGATGAAAAGACGCGCAGCAGTAGTAAGCGGTCCCCACGTCGACGAAGCCGGGTGAGAAATCTTTATTACTATGGTCTATTAGCAGGTTCAGGATTTTCTGTCCGCTTTGGACGCTTGTGTTGCAGTTTGTTCGATTTCTAACACACGTGTTATCCGCGTCTGCCCTGGATGTGTAATTTTTCGCTGCAGAGTCCACGAAGTGCTCGATCACCGCGTCGGAGTCCAGACAGTAACCGTGAAAGGGAACGACGCCGGTCAGGTGAACGTGAACGGGAAAGGGAGCGCGACCGGGAACGAGATCGCGACAGAGAACGGAAAGCTCAACGGACGCCGGTCGAAGACCCCGATGAAAGGTATGTAGAGATTAATTGCTTAAACTGTTCTCGTTTCAGGCTGGAAGAGGTCATTAAGGCTGTTTTTCTATTTTTTAAATAATAGTAGCGATGATTATTATCGTAGTAACAAGGGTATGTTCTACCACAATGAGAATATAAATATATTGACCAGCTCGTAACTGATAGCAGTGCGCCCTGTGCAATCCCTTCAGAGTTTTCTAAAGCTGTCGTTCAAATGAGCCCAGTTCCTCCAGCCTACTACTAGTGCAGCGGGTAAATGAGCTGTTCACATATCATAAATGTGTTAATGATCTAATTTTTTTCAATTAGAGCTTTAAAAGTGGCTTCAGACTATATTGAGAATTCTCTTTCTGAGCCCCGCAGTATCGAAGAGTCTTTCAACTTAAAATACGATTGGAATTTTTTCTGTGGTTACAGTTGGAAGAAGTGGGAGGTTTAATATGTTGAGCTACTTTTTAGTTACGAAAATGTTATTCAGTATCCTACTTTTGTTCAGAAAGTTGCTCGAGTCACCTTTTCTCATCAGAGGGTTGCAGGTCACGGTTTAAAACCAGCTGCGGGTGGCATAGTGCCTCGGACATGCTCTTCGAGCCGTCACTTTTTTAATATAATCCAAAATTGTTTCATGGAATCAGTGATGTTTTTATAGAAATCTGCTGCAAATTTCTGAATAAGGGCTTCTTCCTTCATTTTTGAATAATCGCTTCTTGTTTTAAATTAAAAGGTTTCCCATTCGTTCTACTGCGGCGGACTTGGTGTTTGTAATACATGCAATATAACTGAGGTGACTTTCAATCATAGGTACAAGTGGTCTCCCGCCGTGACACATACACGACAACTGTCATTAATTTCATCGGGATATATTGCATTTAACGACTGACGGAAGATGTCGAAAAGGTCGCTTAGCGACAAGCCAACAAATTGAGCCAGTTTACCTATTACTTGATGATCTTAAGTGACCCTGGTGTTACCATCACACCATAAGAACACGAATACAACGCGCTCGCACTTGCGTCTTTCATCGAAAGAACTTCACATTGGGAGCACCGCGCCGCAGGCGAAGACGTGTAAGGTGGTTATACACACTAGTATTGAAATTTGGAAATTTTTAAAGAAAGATTAAACCCAAATTGCGTTGTTCATTTGTCACAGGTACCAAAAAGAATTGCGCGAAAAGGCGAAAGAGCGGGAACGTGAAATCGCTCGAATGGAACGGGAGAAGCGACGAGAGGAGAAGAAAAACAACGCAACTAGCGGAGCCAACGATGACACTGATGATGAAGAGGCGAGTTTTTGGTTTTCTCTTGTTTAAAGTGCACATAGATAAGAACAATTGCATAACCTCTTTCATTCTTACACCAATATCAATTTCTTCTATTCACAATTTAATATTAATAATTTCTATCCAAGCTAATAGTTTTAAGAATTTGCTATAATAATAGCGAAAATTACGCGGTACTACATAGTAGGCGATTATCTATTTATTAGTTGAAGTGAACATGAATATTTAAATTGAATGTCATATTGTGCAATTCGGCTACTAACCAGAATCCCGTTACGATTCTGCTGCGGTTTGTAGGTTTACGAGCGTCGTCGTCACGAAAAACGCTTACGTGAGAAGGAGGCCAATTATCAGGAACACCTTAAAAATTGGGAAGCGCGAGAGAAGCGCCGGGCAAAAGAGTATGCGAAGGACCGAGAAAAAGTATGAACGCAACAAAAGTTTTATTTGTAATAAAAGATGCACCAGCAACAACAGCAAATGTATCATTTATGTGTGCTGTTATTGTTCTGCTCGAATTTAAAGTTGGTCTTTTAAGGAATATTATCGATGATTTTTAAATCGAGAAACATCATAAACTCAAATCGATTGATTATTTGATTTGGCAGGAAGAGGAACGTATCGCTGAAGAGCAGCGTGAGGCAAAGAGGCTGCGCGAGTTCTTTGAAGATTATGACGACGAACGAGACGATGTGAAATTCTATTCTGGTTCCTCACTACAACGAAGGTTTTTGTGGCTATCTTTGTTTTATATAGATAGAACAACTGAGTCGACCACAAATAAGCTCTATTTCGTCAAAGCTACGTTTGCTGAAGTAGAAAGCGTTTCTTCTATGCTTCTTCAGCAAACAGTTCTTTTCCTTCCGACTTTCCAGAATTGTACACACAATGTAATTCGTACGTTTGTTAGAAATTATTTTACAAAATGTGTGAACAAAGGCTTCATTACGAAACAGCTGTTTTCACACGCCGACTAAATTTATGCCAGTTCTGGCATGGCTTAAAGTGATGATGACAGCTTATACGTATGGTACATAATAATAGTATCTATCATGCATTATATCAGGGTGCGCGAACGTGCGCGCGAAGCAGAATGGGATCAGCGGGATCGACAGCGTGAACGTGAGGAGTTAGACGAATTGAAGCGAAGGTTAGCCGAAGAGGGACATCCCGATCCCGAGCGTGAGGCTCTTCGGCGGCAGCAACAACATCAGCAACAAAATAACTCCACTAATGTGATCGTAATTAGTGATAGTGCTGATCATCCTATTGGAAAGATGACTAGCGACGTTGTCCAGCTTCAGGACGACACCAGCAGAGGAATGGATGATACGTCAGCTCATGGTGTGTATCACTGCTTTTTAATTATTTCTAAAATAATTAAATGAACATATATATATATATATATATATAGATTCAACCAACGCATGGACAGGAAGCATTTTAAAAGGCTTTCAGGAAGTTCTGGTAAGCACTTACGTTCTTACGGCCAACTTACAGATAGAAAGCATAGAACTAATGGTTGTGGAATTTTCTGCTTAATGGCAAAAACAGGGAATATCGTACGCAGTGTTCTGAAAACTTTAGCATGTATGCAACTATAATTAGATATTCAAATTAAATTGCTAGCTAAATTGCAGGCGACGAATCGAAAAATGCTTGAATTAAGTTGTGTGCTTAAATTCTACGCTGTATTTTTTCAACTGATCGTGATCACGATCCAGGTACCGGTGAAGACGTTGTCGACGGGGATAATAGCCCAGCTGTTAGCAGAAAGTTCAGCAAGAACTCGAATCTGAACTCTCAGGACCCTCTACAGGTATCTGTGTTGTATCTTACGAGCATATTTAAAACAACAAATAGCAAAAAAACTGCCCTATCACTTAATGTGAACTTTTAGCTTTTATATATTTTCAAGCTTGTTGGCTAGATCGTTTCATTATAGTTATTTTACTTATGCGTCTACTTTCATGGCCGTCATCTGGGATGACGGTTGTCCGACGGATTAACATTCAACGCCGCAGAAGGAAGACGAGCGTCTGGCTAGAGAGCAAAAAGAGGCCAAGGAACGAAGCAAGGTATTAATTTACAATTCATTAGAGCAATACTGATTTGCTGTCTAACAAGTTGATCCATCCTGAATACCAAAAACTTTACAAATAAAGAATGTGAGACGATTAGGTATAAATTGAAGCTCGAAGCTATATTTTCGTTTAAGTTGTGCTGATATGTTTTAATTTTGTCCTTTTCTGCTGTATAGGAGGATAAGCGTCGCCATATGAAATTCCTTGTAGAGAAAATTCCTTCAAATCGAGATGAGTTGTTTGCTTATGCTTTAGACCGCTCACTCGTTGACGAAGCTCTTATGGTGAAGCGAGTGCGTCCCTGGGTTAATAAAAAAGTCATCGAGTATATTGGAGACGGTGAGATTATCAAAAATTGTTGCACGCAGAGTTATATAATTTCATTATTATACCACACCCAAAATCGTTCAACTTAAATCTGGACCTCATTGTCTCCCATGAAAATTGTAATTATAGTAATAATTATAGTCTAGTTTAGCACAATTTCCAACCAAACGTATTTGTCTTGCTTTTACATTTATACTGATACTGAGTGTATCCACATTCAGTTTTTTACACCTAGCGCCAATTGTCAGCAATGACTAACAATATTGATATTTTATGGCAAAGTGACTCGATCTCTTGAATGGGATTAGTACGATTGCTACAAGTTTCGAATGCTTATGAACATGCGATCTACGCAGTCTCGTTGAAATGACTCTAACATCGCGTGCGAACATTTGGCGTTTTACAGAGGAAGCAACGTTAGTCGACTTTATCTGCTCGAAGATTATGGCCGGCGCAGACGCAGCTAGTCTGCTAGGAGACGTATCTGTCGTATTGGATGATGAAGCAGAAAACTTTGTAGTCAAAATGTGGCGTCTTCTAATATACGAAGTTGAAGCGAAAAAAATGCAACTGTGAGTTTCAGTCGGAAGATTCCTTAGCTCCAGCCAGCATTCGCTGATGGTTAACGCTGGGGAAGCAAATGTGAATTTATGACAATAAGATCTGTTATTGTGATTATATTATCATATATATACATGCTACCCGATGCGTTGCCAAAATGCTTACTGATAAAGCGATGGTATGTATCATTAAATAAACAAATTTTCAGCTGGACTTCATTATTTTTAGTACAGTAGGATATGTATTTGTGAACTGGCCAGTGATTTCACGACCGCTCCGGTGGCTCAAAATGGTGCTGCTAAAAAAGGTACAAAGGTCTAATTAGGGAGACGCGCGACCAACCCGAAGTGTGTGACCTAGCGGATAAAATAATATCGACTTTTTGCAAAGTCTACAATAAATTTTTGCAAAATAGGTAAAATTTGGAAATGAAATGATATACGGAATAGTTTCTTTAGAAGACTGACTGTTTGTAGTAAAATCTATGTATGTACCAGTTAATTCTATATCCGCTAAATCCGCTAAATCCGCTATACGAATTAGCGGAACAGACCTCTTCCTCTGATTTTTTGGTAGTAAATATTTGTGCTCTTTAGGGATTAACACCTATAAATAATATTGTGAGTAGTACCAATAGATAATAGTATTCAAATGTACAGCCATTTTGGGTGAAATTATTGTCCTTAAATCTAACCTATTTCTCAGAACTGCTTCAGATCTCCAATCTATCCGATAAAATGTATTTGATCTGGGTATGCCAGAACACTGACCTTCGAAATAAATGTATACGTATTCGATAGCGTTTGCCTAATGGGCCAATAACTGACATTCTAACCAGAAGTGTTACGTGTAAAGATCAATGCTTTTGTTCTGAAAGGTGATTTTCAATTACAGTACGTTACCCATAGCGGCTGCGTCAATATAACATGCGCAGGTTTTTAAAGAATGTCAAATAAGAATTAGACAAAAGAAGTATTGTGCTGGAAAGTTCTACTTTATCCTCAGTATTTTCCATGTGGTTTCAGAAAACGCTTGTATAATATTATGCCTATATCTCAATGGTGAAAATATTTATCATATTCACGATGACCTATCGTAACACGTAACCTAGCGTAACTAAACGCTGTGTTTTAGAGAGCTCGGCATTCAAATTTCACTTAGAGAAGACTTCTGCCATCAGATTTTGCTTTTTTCGTAGTCAGTGGTTATACAGATAGTCGATTCCAAAACGGTGTCTTTACGTACGAAAGATCTGCATAATAGTAAATTAATGGCGTACAGCTTTATTGAGTACTCGATTGATGTGATTCGTATGCGACGCAACAGTCGTAACCTGTATGCTGCAAGCCAGATCAGCACACCATGGCATAGACGGTTCTAAACACAGCTACAAAATATTATTGGCTTTCTGTTTTACCGAGGCAAACAGGGCAAAACACTGGATTTGGAGTTCAGGACTAGTTAAATCACGTCTGTTTTTGAGATTTACGCCTACCACTATAAACACTGTCGCGAATAAGTGAATATAATGTACTCTTCAGGAGGACTGGGAAGTACTTCTTACGAAACAGTTTTTCGAGTTGTAGAATAATGCATGATGTCTATTAAGCTATCAGTTAGAATTATGGAAACGGCGTAGGCATCGTCTACTACGCTGGTGTCCATTCAATTTAATGTTATTTAGCATTTATCATCATGCGCCCATTTTAACAGGACAGGGCTTTTTTTTTAAACCTGACCAGGTCAGTTTAGCAAACATCATATCATTCACTCGGGTGAATATGATAGGAGAACGCTATAGTATTAATCAGTGCCTTATTGAAAAAAATAGGAACCAAATAACAAACACTAATTGAAATACTTACCAAACTTACCAGCATCGTATAAGTATGATCTACAAATGTGCGAATATCGTATTGTTTACAGTACACAATATTTTTCTTTTTCAGGAATACTGACAGCGGACACAACATGTTAGCGGCGTCAACATCGACCAATTGAGCGATTGTTTTGCGGCGCATCGGTTTATTACAGTCTACATGATCTACATACACAAACATATACACACATACATAGAAGAAAGTGGCCGAACTGTATTTTTATATGCCTAATGTATAGTATTATCATCCCGTATTCGATTGCGATAATGATAAGGATCTTCTTTATGACGTAGAGTGTAAATAAAGAAATCGAAGCATCTATTGACGATCGTCGTCTAATAGTTGCCAGCTCACTTGGAAACAAATCCGTGTCGTTAGTGCTCCATAAGGCGAGTGATTCGAAAAGTTGTTTAAAAAATTATAACGTTGAAGTATTCACTCTCAGGTAGAGTCTATTTAAATCAAAGAAAGTAAAGTCATTTGTAAGCTTCAGACGAAAAACAGTGTCGAAAGGACCTGGCATGTCTAAGCTGTTAATGCTGAAGTTGTGTTTAAGCACACAAGTGACTAATGCCTTTTCTGTCATAGTTATCGGGAACGGGGGAGGCTATTTTTATCTAGGGTGGTCTGGAAATTATTTCGAATCTACTAACTCTTGCTGATCAAAGCTTTCAGTAAAATTATCATCTGAATTTAAGTTTTAAGTCCTTTGATTGGCACTTTTTGATGGACCGCTATAGAGAGATGGCATCAGACTTGAGAAAACTTTCTCAATATGATGGGTAACAACCAAGGAACGTTAGCCAAAAAAATCGACAATATTGTCATTAAATTGTATCCCCTATCATTGGTGCACTACGTTGTAGGATTGATTCAAACATAGCCAAACGCCATCGTATTGAGAAGTTTAACATATTTTAATGATTTAATATCACCTAAATATCGTAGAGCTAATTAAAAGGTATGATACCTGCTTATTCAATTACCAACTACAAGATAAGCCTTTCTCTTTAATTATCTACATCGCCAAATGCCACATGCCAACGTCAGTGCTTGCCTAGTTATTACGCACCTAGGGGTTTAACAAACATTCTGGACTTACATGAGTGCAAACGGTAGACTTCTCAAATAACACTAGCTTGGGCTATGCCTTTCTATGTATTTTTTCTTATACTTAATTAGTTTGAACAAGGCTGTTGCAAGCAAATCTTTGAAACTAAATAATCTATAAACTAGTTGGGCTAGGATTACTTTTTAATGTGCTAGAGCTACTCTCCTTTATGTTTACGCACTCTTCCTATGTCTCTGGCAGCCTCTAGATAGCCATATACGTATTACCCACGTTACGACATTTGGTTTATCTATGGCTTCTCGATTCTTTTGAAGATATGGAAAGCCCAATGGACCTAAATCAGAAGAATAAGCAAGTTGAAGCCAACGTCATTTAAAAGGCGACTTCTGTTTGTCATACGATACTAATAGATTATTTTATTCAGTTAGTATAATAGGAACCTTGTCAAATATGCACCTAAGCGTCGCAGATGAGGTATACCTTTTGGCTAAAAATCAATTGTCCCAATTAAATCACAGCAGCATACTACAAAAAGGTATACTGCTCTTATTCATTTCAACATCCACTAATCAACTCGGACCTCAAGTAAGTTATATCTATTTTAACATACTTTAACATAACGACTATAGCCAGGCGAATTGTCTTCAATCCTTCGTACTTCACGCCTCTTTCATGGTTTCCTAAAAAAGTATGGAAGTGAATTGACTAGCTTATTCCTTTTGTCCTTCCTGTTTCTCCACTAAGCTAACGAATTAACCACCTTTTTTGGGCTTAACCGCCACTTTCCATCAGCATCATGCGTCGTCATCGACATAGTCACAATCTTCATTTTTCACCGTTAACTCTTGATCAGCATTTGCGCTATCTTCAGCAGCACCGATGACGCTTTATGGCGTGATTTCAATTTGTCGTAGCTGCGATGACCGCGGCTGATGCAGTTAACGCAGTTGAGGTGAGAAAATGAGGGATGATTTGACGCATCACCACCATCATGTCGCCGCTACTTCACCTGCTGTTGCTGTCATTGAAGTGAATATCAAATCGACGTTGGCCGTTCCGCATGACGCGCGGTGTTCGTGTTTCTGAAGTCAATATCTGTAGGCAGACCACCGCTAAACAACAACAACAAGTCGGTTCACCTATTCGAAATAACCAAAAGAGTAGGATGAGGCAGCGCTTAACTGAAAGCCAGAAGCTTTCATACTCATCAGAGCAACACCAATACCATTGACGTATGGACATCGATGAGTGGTGACTTTCGAACCGATCACGTTGGTGCCTGCGCCGCTGCCTGTCTTAGCCACAGGGAAGCGAAGTAAATGGCGGATAGACGACAACGAAGACGAACTACTAGAAAAGACAGAGAAAAAAGGACCAAAAAAGAAAAAGATTATAGAGGTGTCGTCATCGCCGAAGTTACGCTAGTAATAGCAGTAGTTGTTCGAGGGATCTTTGTCGTTCGTGTTGTTGTATCCATGGTTAAAGCTCATCGCTGTCCGTCGTAGCTGTTCGAAATAGAGGGATTGCCGCTGTCGCTACTGCCGCCAGTCGTAGTGATGCTGGCAGTGAGATGATTGAACGGCCGCACCTCTCGTCGAAGAGGTGACGAAACTAGGAGTCTAGAGTTACCTCACCCGCTACCCCCACTTATTGCTGACAAAAGCCACGGCTGAATCATATCGGCATAATCATTAGACGTGGTAGGATTTATCTTCGGTTTTTCCAACGTTCATATTTATTATATAATTTGTAAATAACGCTCGCTGTAATAATAAGACAGTTAATAATTTATTACTTTAATTGATGACGTTATCATAACTTGTGAACGTCATCTTCTCCCTCCCTTTACCTCTTTCATTTCCTGTAGTCAATTTTCAACTGAAAGTCACATTACACAGACATGTTTGGCTTTTTTGTATCAGCTACATGGGTCTAGATACATTACTGTTGTACATTGAACCACAGAGTTCAATTACAATTGTAATAAACACGAAACAGTTCGTTCGTGTATGAAAGTTTAAGCTTGGTTTTGTATAGCTTTTATTATTAGTTGAAAATTGAGCCATTAGTTGTATGACTGTGCACACTAGGTTCTACTCATCCCCCAGATCGCTTTAATCATCGATGTATTCAGTCGCTGAACCGTCGTCGGCTTCATGTAGCCCTTCTCATATATAAACGTACTTGAAATTAGAACTTTCAACTATAGTGGACTATTCAATTTCTTTCGTTCACATCCACAGTTCATATTTCCTGTTGTCCACCTGAAAATGACCTAGCCAGTGCACTTGAAGGGCGTCCATATTTTCGACGTTTCCTTTGGTGTGGTATTTTGCTTGTTGCTAGCATTAATAAATGAACAATTTATTTCAACGTTTTTTAGTACATATACCTGTAAAGAATGTTGCTATAAAGTCAATCGCAATAATATCTGAAGGATCAATAGGTCCATAAAAGACAAGGTCTAAGGATGGCTAAAATACCGCTGCGAACATCCACCGAATCTGGCTCTACGTTCGCGGTGTTGAAAGGCTCATCCGAATGGTTCGCATTTCTTTAATATCCCCGACGAATGATGCGAAGTTAATCAAAAGCAGCCGTAAAAGTATGTATTAAGGCCAGCAATCGGCCTACATTCAAAGTGTCCTTTGATCTCACACAGTTCTCGAACCTTTCCTTGTTCTGATCTGCCATCCGCCTGCCTCGCTTCTTCACCGGATTTTTTCGGCGTGCACATTTTTGGAACACTAGGCGACCGTCTAATCTACTGCCGCCGCCGATGTGTTTCATCATGTCTTCCTACACCTTCATAAGTTTTCATTTCAACTTCAAGCCTTGATCTTCTATGGTGCTCCGTTCACCGTTGTCGCGCTGACTAATACGGCTGCTTGAACTTATCAACAACGACAATCCACGAACCTGACCTCAACGCTTAGAATAGACAGATTGTTGTCAGAAACCAACAAAGGCATATTACGACTGAGTTTGTGGCGTGGCCAATGCGCCTTTAGTAGATTTCTCTTTTTTTTTCGCGCTTACCTTGCGTCGTCTCAAAATCGTCACCGCCAGCAGCCAAGCGTTGGCTGAGATCGATCACATGGCGGATCATAGCGTACTCTTCGCTGCAGTCATTTTCACTAGATCCGTACACACTGGCGTCGAATCGACTGCGGTTGTGTATGTATGCGTACGTACGGTGTAGCCGTGTTCTCGAATTGAAAACCTGCCCAAGGAGTTCAGTTCAGTCCATGTCGGCAAGTGTTAACGCCGCCAAAGCACGCTAGTAGCAAGCATATTACTCGATCTATTGTAGCTGAGTCTTGCGTAAGATGACTGAGGGAAGCGAGACGACATTTTAAACCTGGCGTCAAAAAGCTTTTGAGATACCTAAAAAGGCCTATGACAGGTAGATCAAAGCTTGGTTCTAGTGTGGTGAAAATTGACGCGATTAATAGGATGGGACGTCTCTCAATAGATCGTTTGGTCAAATCTTTATGTTTCGGTTATTACAGTAATAGGATCTCTAATTATTAGCCTATATAACAGTCTCGAGAATGTCTGTTAAATGTGGATATTCGTTGTGGTCATGAAGACAGAGCGCAAGCTACAACGAAGCCATCTAACTCGGATAAGAATAAGGCTTAACAACAGTTCAAACTTAAAACAACGCTAAATCGCTTTTGGGTTCCTCTTTTTGTATTAATAACCATCTGTCTTAGACTAAAAGGCTAAATGTTTTATCTCCTAAAGCACAAACGCATTCATAGATTTAGTATATCTGTAACAGAATCTAATAATAAAATTTCAAAATACCATAAATAAATCAATTAGGCTCACAGTTCCAAAGAAGAAGCAAGTTATAGCCTTTGGTTTCTACAAAAATAACGAGACAGATCGAGCCCCGTGCACAACTTTGTAGTTCTATTAAAAATAATTCCAAGAGCAGTAAAGTCCTAGTTACCAGCATTTCCTCCCTCATTCTCACACCTCTTATCACAGCTTCTCTACGCGATCGAATTAATCAGAGCAAGTCGACGAAATGAGACGCGTTGTGCACATATGAACATGTATCAGGTATTACGGAGAGACCTCGCAAGAGGCAATAGACATAGCGAACTTAAAGAAAAATTCGTCAATCTTTTTTGCGTGTTATAGTTCTTTACAAAAAAAAACGACGGCTTTTGCGGCATCAACAATATTGGCGGTAGCAGCGGTTTGACGTCTGTTTGGTAATGAATGTTAGAGCGAGCTTGCCTGTGTGCATTTGACGCTTGCGTGTGCGAGCGTGCATGTA